AGTAGTAGCATAAGTAGAGAAATTTGCTACTGGAACTCGTTAGAATCGTTTGAGCAAACCTCGCAGAAAGTGCACTCGGCTGACCTCAGAGAAATGTTTCCGGTTATCTTCGAATACTTTCGACTCTGCATCGTGCTTACAATTACCTGTAATTAACACGCTTAAGCATCGAGTTACGCATCGAGTATCTCCAGGCATAATAATTCCTCCCTTTGTTATACCCGAGCTCAACCTCTCCATACACAGTAGATCGTTTCGAGTAATTCTTACACACTACTAACCGTTCAATAACTCTTTCAAAGAACATCGTAGTTAATCATTAAACAAAACGATGCACAGAATATGAAATAAAGAAACAGTTAATTACTCCTTCTTCATTAAAACCAGGTTCCTTTTCTTTAATTGAAACAATTTTACCCGAAGACAATTTGTCCTCATTTCAAACTACTGAAGACTTCTTCATTCACTTTCCCAAAACAAGATAAGAACACAGAAACGTTCCAAAGGTCACCAATCCTGTTTAAAGTCAATCCTCACAGAAGTGGAAGGGAATTCAAGTGGCCGCCTCGTACGTAACTTTGTTCGTGTTCAACCCAAAGGGGAACCCAGCATACAGCGGCCTGGGTACGAGAAGATGGCCAGAACTCCTCTTCTCGTCCTCCGAGTGCGAAATCTGTTCTTCATCCGGTGCAATGATATTCTCAATAGTGAACGGTTTCTTCTTCTTCTTCTGCTCCGGCTGGATGCTAGTCTGGCCGGAGACTCCAACTTCCATGCCGGGGCAACGAATCTTGCACTCCGCCCCTGGATTATCCAAAAACAGTGACCCGTCGCTCTTATCTGGGATGGTGGCCTCCGCGGTTGCACAGATCTGCCTGTTCTCTTGAACGTCCGGTTGGAAGTAATTCAATTGCGAGACGTAAGGGGAGACCTGGAACCCGGGGAACGTCCAGCCACCTCCGGTCTGAAGCAGATTGCTCTCGTAACCCCTGAGAATCTCGTCCCCGGCGAGTCTCTGCCTGACTTCCGGTGACAAGAGGTAGTAAGAGCTGCTCTCGGGAGTCGTGAATCCCGGCGAATTGTTGCTATCAGAGCCCATGGTCAGTCGACGTTCTTGCAGCTCCCACCGGAGCAAGTCGTCGCGGAGACGGTGGAGGTTAGCGACGGTCAGACTGCTGGCTTGTGCCGCTGGGTTTATCGATAACACCGGCGAGGACTCCGAATGCGGGGGCGGCATCGCCGAGGCTAGGGCTTGCAGTTCGGATTTTAATAATTCTTTGTCAGGTTTGTGCAGTTTGAATCGCTTCCTGCGACGGAGCAGCGAGCCGTTTTCGAACATTGAGAGCGCCGCCGGGTGCAGGGCCCAGTACGCGCCTTTCCCTGGCCGGTGTGGACCCCGGGGAACCTGGAACACAAGTTATACATTTTAGAAATGACTTAATATGAACTAATTGAAAGACAAATCTGTTTATACAGGTTTCGTAAATGGTGCGCAAAACTTTAGGAACAGATTCCTAATGCTTAGAGAAGAGAAAGAAGTTATATTAACGTAGGGTCGAAAATGATTAGTTTCTGAGTTATTAAGGTTTTTGTTGCCACAATTCTCTTGTAGGAAATGTTCAATATGTCCACCTTTTATCTCAGTTCAAGCCTCAGCTCGTCTCATTGAGTTCTGAACAAGCTCCCAAATTCCTGGCATGGCGCCTATCGTCTGAAAAGCTGCCACAATTCGGTCATGGATAGTTTCTACATCGTTTATTGCAGACGAATATACTAAAAACTCTACATAACCTCACAGGAAGAAGTCTAATGGGTTTAAATATAGTGAGCATGGAGGCCAAGCAATTGGTCCACTTCGACCTATCCACTTATCAGGAAACATTTAATAACTCAGAAACTAATCACTTCATATGTTGATATAACTTTTTTTCTTCTTTTAGGAATCTATTTCTAAAGTTTTGCCCACCATTTATGAAGCATTCTGTATAGAGAATTTATAGACAACCGATTAATAATGGAATTATACGTATATCGGGTGTTCCAGGTTTTAATGTTCAAACTTTAGTACTATGTTTGTTATAACTTTTTCATAAAGCTCTAAATATGTGACTTCTGTTTAAATAACGTTGTTTTCTTATGTACTGCCATAGAATATATTGACAAAGCTTGAATATTAACATCTGGGACTCTCTGTATTTAAAC